AGACGTGTGCTCTTCCGATCTCCCCAAAACCCCAAAACCCCAAAACCCCATGGCTTCTTAATATACAGAATAAAGTAAAAACTGTCATAAATAAATCCAAGTTTAATAATCTTTCTATTTTTAAAACTCAATGTATTTTATTCATCCTTATCTCTGGATTTTATAAATTTACTCTAAATTCATAGGAATCTTGACATATCTTGCGTGTCTAGTTATTCGATAGTAACTTCCTCCTTCTTTTTCTACATTTACAAATCTTGCAAGATTAATTCCTCTTTTTTAATTATAGTTAGCAAAGGAGGCAGTCTAAAAGGATAAGGATAAGAATTTTCATCCTCTATTTAATAAGCCTATCCAATCTCATCATTAATATGATTTTCATTATCATTGATAAATTTTCTAATTTTACTTAGAATTGCCTGTTCCTATTTGTATCTCACATATTCCCTTATTTGTCTGAAAAAATTTTAAGCAATAACTGCAGTGTTATAGCAAAGATATATCAAAACTAGTGCTACTGGTATAAAACCCATCCACTATCTTGGACCCTGTTCAATATCAAAATGATTTATGAATGGGATAAAGCTATAACAGATAAGTAAGTATATAATCTCATTCCATACCAGTAGGTGAAAATAACTCTTTTACTTAAAAGGTCTTACTGATATGAGGTAAAATAGAGTGAATATGGTTAGTTGAATCTATAAGACAATCTACAGTTATTGATAACTAGGAAAAGCTATCATTATGATTGAATATAATATTCTTCACACCATTTGTATAGGTTAATAATACTCTGAGTATTCAATGGACAAGTCAATATGCTAGTAGTATATTTCAAATCTTTTATCTTTTTCTCTTCTTGAACTCTATTATTCTTATGCTTTTCTTAAAACTGAGTAGCAAATAGCAGGTAAAATCAATGTAAATAGTATGATCGAAACAGATAAGAAAGTTCCAAGAATCTCTCCACTCTCTTGAAAAGAAATCTGAATATTAAAAAAGTAAAATTTTATACTTTCTGTAAATTTATCAAGGAACATATTAATAGCTCAAGCGATGCTTCATTTACAAATCGTAAAATCTGATTAAAAATGATGTTTTCTCTTAACTGTCTAATTAATCCTCTATAAAAATAAAAAAACCTAATATACTACCTTCAATTCCCTATTCCTAATAATTTGAAGCTGAATGCAATGAATAAAATTAATAGATTTACCAAAAGCAGATAAAACAAAAGCCCAAGATTTTTAATCGAATTAGATGAATTATAATTCATGAATTCAAAAGCATCGTTGTATGATTTATCATCGAAATTGAAATTTAAGATACTTTCATTGAATTCATCAGTCGGAATAAGGTTTAAGTTTACTATGTCATTTAATAAACTGAAAAAACTTAGCGTGTTTACTGGCACAGAAATAGACATCATCGGCAAATGAGATATCAACTAAAATCCTTCGATCATGCCCCAAATCAATTATATACTTTAGCTCCTATTTTAAATTAAAAATAATTGATTTACAAAAGCAAATTGATAATCAAACTAGTACCAAACACTGTACTCATTGTCCATTGTACAGTTTTTGCAATAGCTGAGCTAACTTCAAATTATGCTAGATTTTATTATGGCGGGATAATTTTAAATATTTTATAATTCACAGGTACCTTTTTGGACAAATCTTAACTAAAAAAATAATCCTTTCTGATAAATCTCAGCTCTATATTATCAAGCTATAAAATTATTAGTATTTGAAAATGGTACATTTGGCTAAGATATCGATGAGATTGAAATATTATTAAACAAAAGCTATAAAACCATTTTATTTCCATTAAATGATACACCTTTAAAATTTAATGGTATTTCTTTTGTATCTGTACTTTTAATAAGAGTAATCTGAATGAGTTGAGTCAGAATATTAACCATTTCAGGATTATTTAGCATTATCATTTCGAACTCTAGAGTTAATAATCCTGAATTGGAAATTTTGATTATTTTCGCCTGCAAATTGGGGTTAGAATTTTACATTTTCTGTTTAATTAGTTACAAGTTTTAAGAATCAGTAGAACTAATTACTTTCAAAGAAAATTTATTAACGGAAAAAGCCCTGGTGTCTTTTACTTCTCAAAGTATTACTTAATACTCGAATTGGCCATACTCAATTTTACTTGGTGAGAATGTAAACGTATTTCCATCTAATTTAGTGAATTTCTAAGCTGCTTTACTTGAAACTTCATAGCTTATGGTAAAAGGATTATTCTCTTTATCTTAACCTTCAGGTAGAGTGTATTAAGTAGTACTACCACTCATACCATACTAATCAAAGAGATCGACAGCAAAATAGGGATTATTATTCTTTACCTCTTTTTCCATTAGTGTGACTTTAAATTCTTTAAGCATATATAACTCCTCATAATCATAATTATTTAAGGTTATCGCTTTCACTTGCAAGGTAATTTTGTGATAAGTATTTTTAAGTTCAGGTGTTTCAGTGAAAATTCTGAAATATCCTGTCTCATTATTGTAAGATAAAAAGAAAACATGTACATTTTCAAGACTTATTAGTGTATATTGAAGATATTTTACACAATAGGAACAATTCATTGAAGGCTATACCAGAGGCCAAGACAAAGCAGGATCACCTACAAAGTATTTTTGATTTTTTATGATTAGCTTAGACTGATATCTGACAAAAGAATCACAATTTCTAAGGAATATTTTTATCTTAGCTTCTTCATTTAGTCCTTAAGGATAGTCATCAACTTTGAAATAGGCTCTAACCATTAATTGATATTCTCAATCTAATAGAAATTTATCTTTTATATCTATAAGGTTCAAACTAAATTCATGAATGACTGTAGAAATAGAATCCCAAGTACTTATCAATTCATTTGTTCCTAGGTCGATTAAATCAAAAGTTATCTTGTAAGCATCAGTACAAGTTGAAATTGAATAGTTCCCAATTTTAATTGTGCAAGTATTCTAAAGAATACAAGTATAGGTAGAATAGTGAAGCTTAGGATCTCTTATATAATTAATCTGTAATTCCCCACCTTAGTTGCATTAAGTTACAGTAGGATCAGAATCGAAAAGCTATATTTAGAATTCATACAAATCTTGATTGAATTTTAGATCTACTATAGTGTAGTTTTTCACATTTGGTTACAATTCAACATTTGTTGAATTTTGATACCATCTAATCATTGAACCAAAAGTTTCGCTAAGTAAAGGTGAAGTTACTAATGAAAGTAAACTATAGCATTAAAACTCATTTTTTGATGAAGTGACAAATCCTAAATATCTTCCAGATTCTAAGAAACTTCCAGCAAAAAAATATTAATCACCGTATTAAGCAACTCTTGCAAAAGAAATAATTGAGGATTTAAAATTTTTGTATTAAAATTTTTCTGCTACAAGAGCGTAAGGGCTGGGACTAGTCGGAGTGAATTAAGTTTTACTTATCTTTATGGAGTATAATGTTTAGATACCACTAGATGTAGTAGTATAATATATCTCTAAAATATCATCACGAAATCTAATACCTAGAGAATATAGTAGCTCTGTAATTACTTCTACTGAGTAAGCATAAATTTGAAGATTAGTTTAGTCATAAATAAGTATACCTAGGGCAGTTTAGGTTAATGTAAATCTAGGTGATTTTGTTAATAAACCAAATACATACCCACTAGTTTAAATCATTCGATAAAAACTTGTGTGAAGGTAAGATCCAGTCAATGTACTAAAACTATAAAAGAAATTTATGTGAGCACCAGCTTGAAATTCAGCAAAAATTATTTTGTGATTTCCATCAATATATGTAT